CCATTGCTTTCAGAGCTCTTCCCGGCTCCGCCCAGCACACAAAGGCTCTACTTGGGCACCTGTGTCACCCCCGTGCTATGTGCTTCCTTCTGTAGACCTTCTCTCTGCTCCTTTCTTGGAGCTGAAGCCCCTGGCGGAGGTGGTAGATTGTGGGAAGGAGACGGGGAGGAGGGAACTGTTCTTGCTTCCAGCTTCCGGCCGGTGCAGACCTGGGTGTCTGGGACAGAAGCAGAAGAGACTGGAGGAAGGAAGCCTCTTTTTATCTTCCTTATGATGGGAGGAGTGGCTCTGTTTTAATGAGAGAAAGAATGGCCACTCATTGTTTTTCTCCAGTTCCAGCAGCCAGGTCTCCAGAATCCATTTTCTCACGAAAATGCCAATATACAGACTTAGATGAAAGTTTACACCATCACCAAAGACCTGTTGATAGGCTGGAAGGCCTGAGATACTGACACAGCCTGTGAGCAGAACTTGGAGCCTCAGGAGAGAAGAGGCCAAAGGGATTCCAGTCACGAGGGTAGGAGGTCATTTACAAAACCTGGCTCTGGATCACAAGACTCAGCGCACTCTGTCAGTGTCATGGGAGGCCTTGTCGCTCCTCCCAGGGAGATAAACAGCCACATGTGAGCTGGCAGACTTCGTTCAGGGCGTGCCAGGAAAGCCCCCTTCCTGCCTTGCTGCCTTTAGGCCTGGGGCCCCCAGTGGTCTCTCCACCAGCTCAGCTGCTTGGTGTGTGACAGCGTATAATGAGGAGGTTCCTCGGATGGGCTCTAGGAGGCCTGTGGGAGGCAGGCACGTGGCCAGGAGAATCCCAGAGAATGGCGAGTGCCACACTGTCAGGCCTCGGAACCCATGATGTAATGTTTCACTGGGGTCCAAGGAAAACAAGCCTGCTGTTGATGCTGCCCTCCCAGCAACCAGGCGCTGCCCTCCCCATAGCAGGCTGTTCTGGGTAATTACTGATTCCCTCTCCCTCCTTGGAAGGAGGAAATGTGAAAAACCTTTATTGTCACATAAAAGCCAACCCCAGATATGAGAAATGTCTTTCAAAATGAGTCTTGCTGAAGAGGGATTTCCATAGCAACTTCAGAAGTGTGTGTTCACAGCTAGAGATGCATCCGGGCTGATGAAACCCACCTGGAATGTGAACAAGCCCTGCTCTGGGCATCAGCAGAGTGGAGTTTTTCTAGAGCCTGTCATGCTGCTATGTGACCTTGGGCGAGTCCTTTACTCTCTCTGCTGTCTCAGGTGACAGAATTGTCATTGATCAGGCTGAGAGAGAAAAATGGCATCTTGCCCACATTGGACAGGGCAGGTCCTTCCACCCTGGTCCGAGGCTTCAGTCCTCCAAAGCACCGCCTGCCTCCAGTTTCTGTCTGGTCTCTGGTTGAATAATTCCTATCTCAGTCTCTGCCAATCTTGCTGATTATTTGACATTGGGGAAGGACAATGCTCATTTAAGCTTGATTCTAAAAGAAATTGCTTGGTCTTTTTAAAAGAAGCACTTTGCCTGATTAGGAAAGAATATACTTACTCATAAACGCTTCCACAGTTCCATAGGTCAGATTCCTGGGAAAGAGACA